TCATTATGAATAGCAGAGTAAATGGTCATTTAAAACAAATGAATGTCAAAGACAACACATTTTATTGAGAGGGAAAAATGTATGCGTCATAAATACAGAGGAAGTGTGATGAACATTAGTCTGAAATGAGTGGAAAGCAGGTCAAATGGGGCGGCCAATCAAATGAATCCCCTTTACTTATCGACACTATTAAGATAGGAAGCAAAAGCAGACAGTTATTACTATAGTTATTGGCTTATAGAAGGCAGCGTTGCCTTCACTGTCCTAGGAAAAAATGCATTAAAGCACCGCAATTAGTAAGTATTTTCTACATTCTAAATGATTGTTCTTTATTTGGAAGCTACGTGGCTAATTTGAGGCTAACCCCAGATGAACCAAATGACGAGTGAGCACAGCATGCAGTTCTCTGTGTAAAGCCAAAAGTAGAGCTAAAAATCAGACAGTGTCACACGTTTTTATTTATTATTATTTTATTTTGGGCTTCTCCCCCAGAAAGTGTGGCTCTGCTGTGTCAGGTGTCTGGCAGCAAACACACGACAAGAAAAGCCAAGTGTGACTGTAAATAGGTTTGGTTGGCAGACTGTCACTTTTATAGTTAGTCTTTTTCACACTGCAGTTGTCTGTCCCAGGTCTTCTACTCAGACTTGAAGCTTATTTTTGGGCTTATTTTGGTGAAAAGGTTCACGGCAAATTTTCTGCAGTGCTCTTTCATTACTCATTAGTATTTACTGTTTCTCTCAGCATGTATTGATGTGAAATTTATTGAGTTGACCTTAACTATCTGGACATCAGTGAACAGTTGACCTGTGATGCCACGGCACAGGGACAACGTGACCTGATTGTGTTGAGCCGTTTTTAGGAAACACCTTAAAGACCCTGCAGGACTGTGTCTAAACGGGTCACACCACCACCACCACCACCATCATCAGCATCATTACCATCAACGCCGTCTGTGTGTGACAGAGTTCACTCTGATGTAACTTTCTGGCCAGAGGCAGACTGTCTGTCAGCCCGCCTGCTCACCCGCCTCACCCAGCCATCTCCCCAACAACACCAACACGCTCAGAAATAACTGGGGCCACTGCAGTTTGACTGTTCTTTTTTCCCCCTCCATATTGATCTGTAGGAAGCCCTTGGTAGAACAGCAGTCATCCATAATAATCGTCATATTAAAATATATGTATACAATAATCAGAACAGAAAAGTCGGAAACACAACTGCATGTGGCTCCGGGGCCACATAGAGCTCTTTGGCAATGGCTCACTGTAAGTTGAGAATGGATCAGGTTTAGCCTAGCCCTACCTTTAAAAGAAAACATACTTACTTACATACTTTTCACGATTGATACTGTTGTTGAAAGAGTTGTAATTTTACAAAAAATCAAATTTGTTCAGAAAACTTACCTGGCACACTGAATTCCCTGCTTACTTGCTAACAGCAAAACAACATAATGTCACTTCCCTCTTTAACACCACGTGATCTGTTCAGTGTGTAGCACTGACTTTAGCTGTATGACACCAACAGCGGCATTTCTTCTACTGATTTAAGTTCAACAACAGCGTGTTCTGTGGAGGTCTTGGCGAATGTTTAATATTTGGTGATAAAATAGTACAATTATTTAGTATTGTCTCTCTGTGTTCAGCAGCTGCAGCGTAACATACATGTTTACATAATCCTTTTTCCAAATGGCTTGGCCCCACACTGTATGTCCTGTAATGTGAGCCTCAGCCTCAGCAGCAGCAGCAGCAGCAGCTGACCCGGGACATCAATGAACTTATGATCCATGACATGCAATTACAGGCTGTAAATGAGCTGTTAATGAGCCTGTTGGTCACGACAACATCTGTTATCTGTGCTGGACTTACAATCAAAGTCCAGGATTGTTGTTAAAATGACGGGCAGTGTTGTTGTTTCTCAGTTGTTGTCCCCCCCGGCTTTCAAACATCTGTTTGCAGCCGTTCTCTCAACTCCCACTGAGGTGAACAGTTATGCATGGTCATAAAAACTCTCCTCTTTTGTCTCAAATGTCTGCTATTCATTTGATATAACGAGCCTTGAAGTTGACTTTGAGGTTGTAATTTGATCCAAGCAGTAGTGCCTTAAACCTGAACTCTTCCTGTCCAGGTCAGTCTGTACTTCAGGGACAATAATAAGTCGCTCGGCCTTGCTGTGAACAAATGTGAATAAATATGAAAATCATATTAGCACAGACTTTATTATAAGGCAGTTAAACACTCAGGGCCACACAAAATGATTTGACGGGCAACATTCGGCCCGCGAGCCTTGAATTTAACACGTGGAATAGCTAATAGATACTGTAGATTCCAGTAGATTCCAATTCTGTATGGCTTGTGAGGAAGACTTTTTTTCAAACTGAGGAGGAGGTTTGTTCAGCGTCTGTCTTTGTGTTTGTTTGTCTATGTGTGTGTGTGTGTGTGTGTGTGTGTGTGTGTGATGTGAGGGACGGTCAGAGCAGAGCTGTTGAACTGCCAGAGCTGCAGATGGTGTGGCTCTGCTGTCAGTGCTGAGAACGGTGCTCCCCATACTGTTCCCCTCACCCTGTCCTCCCTTCACCAACCCTCTGAGTTATTCCTCAGTCAGAAGAGGAGAGGAAAAAGGGGTGAGTCAGTGGGAAAGAGGCTAAAATGGAGGAAGCAGGGAGGGGAGAGGAGCCGGACACTAGTGTGAAATATGATGGGGATTACAGGACAGAAGAAAGAGGAGGAGAGAAGGACTGTAGAGAGGAGTGACAACAGGGTAATGGGGAGGGAAATTCTTCACGCTGTGACCTTTATGTGGTTTAAGTAAGGCTCTAATGGCTGCCTTTAGATTATTAGTCCCCGTGTGGAAAAGACAACCAGGAGAAATCCAATCCACAGCCAACTGATTTATATCAGCACACAGACAGGCCCAGATGACTCCTGTCAAAACTGAAAATATTCAGCCATCTGTCAGGAAGGAGAAGAAGGGAGGTGACAGACAGGAAGTCAGGGAGAAACAGAGGTGTGGAGAAAGAGGAGGGGAGGGTGGAGTCAGAGTTATTTTAATGATCAGCATTCATATTTAGATTATTTGGACACA